ATGCTTAACTTGATGTTCTGAGCTTTCAGCTGAGTTAAGTGTCTGCAGCTGAAATCAGTGGATGCAGCAGATACTCAGATCCTGAGAAGTTTTACATCTATGTATTTCAAACAGGACAGTCAGACACTGAGCTGCCTTCAGAGCTAGTGGGCAAGTTTGAAAAGCCTGGCCATGGTAAGTAAGTGTAGACTGAGACAATAGTTGTTTCACTGGTTCTGGGAATCTTTTTCTCTGGTTTGGTGCTATCTATCTGGTTTAGACTAAAGAAGAAAATGTGATGATCCAAACACACAGCTTCACTGTGAAAGCTGCGTACACTTAGCTTTTTATTTCTTAGGAGGATACTAAAACATCTCTGCAAAAGCTGTTACTACAGATGTCTGTCATTAACTAAACACTTGAAGCAAACATGAAATCCGCAACACAAAGTGATTTCTAAGGATGGGATTTAAAAGGGGCTCTCCATTTGGTCTAACCTGTTCCAAATAACATGAACAACTCACTTTTGAGTTTGGCAGATGCAAAGTACTTTTAAAATATCCCACAGAAGATACCAATCAATAGTTTAAAAATACCCTATGTGTGGGCCTTCTGCATGCGTTCTGTAAACAAGTAGCATTACTGCATGCTTTGTGATAATATTTCAGTGTGGTTATCTGTTAATGTAGTTGCATGCAATATTGTCATGTGAGGTTTTGTGTCATTTGAACTTTCCCCTCAATATTTTTACAAGTACTGTGATTTATCGGATCATAAGAAAATACCATTAGATACAGATATGTATATGTGTTTACATAAAGATCAGATTGATTCTTCAAACTGACATAAACCAGTCTATTGCAACAAGGTTTCTGGAGTCATCACAGTTTAAAGAGATCAGCGAGAAATGAGCCTATTGCTTTCATCGCAAAGCGTCACTCCGTAAATAATCACCTTGCACATGATGAACAGGCACTGAAATCAGTGGTATCAGAGGCCAGCCTTTGTCCAGTAACTGAATACAGGCATATAAGCAGATCGGGCAAAGTGCGGAGCGCTCCTGTGAAGACTACAGACTTTCAGTGTTCAGCAGCTTGATGGATCAGACTTACAGGTCATAAATATTCATAAAGCTTTGCAGAAGATAGGGACAGTCACAAGCTGGGGTTAGGAAAACATTTTTTAATTGCATGAAGTATAAGTAGAAGAAACACTTAAAGACTTGGAATCAATTACCTGGCAGTGATAAATCACCTCTGGAGAAAGAGGGGAATAACAAGAAGGGGAAACGGGTGGGAGATGGTGATAAATCATTGCAGCACTTTAATATGGCATCACCCCATAGATGCTCTACAGTTGTTATCCTGAAATGTCTCTTGAGTCTCTTCTCTGCTGAAATTGCTAGTGTCTATGTGAAACTGCTTCCTTAGACCCAAGCAACCTTGTGTTTGCATGTTACCTTTCAATTTACACAAGTGGTGACCTCACCCATGCAGTCCATGAGACAGCGGCACTCCCCTGCTCTCAGGTAGTGCCATCAGATGCAATGGCTGTTACTTGCCCATCTTCCTTCCTTGCACACCTGGGCAACTCAGGGATGGCAAGAGATTTTGACTTGGTCGAGCTCACAGGGAGCACTGAGAACAGGACCCAGATTTCCTGTCTCTCACTCTCAGGCTCAATCTGCTACTGTGCAGCAGCCGCCTTATTTATCCTACCTCATGCTTCGTTAGAAGTATGAGTAGATGAATTTCCTCTTCAGGGTGTTAATATGCTGCAGCCTTCTCGCATGTTTCCTCTTGCTGTTTCAGGCAAATATATATGCTTGCCACTGAATATTTAAGAAACATCATGAGGAGGTCACATGAAAGTTGTATCTAATCCTCTCTTCTGCACTGACAGTGCTTGGCAGTGGAGGGCTAAAGGAGGACAATAGAGCCCAGAATATTGAAGAAGTCCCCAGAAGTACCAAGAGCTGCTCAGCCTGACCTGTTAGAGTGAGGTGAGCTCAGTCATCGGCCACTCTGCCACACAGACCAGGCCAAAACTGGTGTCTAGTGTGAGGAGATGTGCCACCTTCCTCTTTAAGTCTGTCTTCTTTAGTCTTTCCCTCATGCAGTGTCTTGGTCAGCGGTACATGGTTAGCTGGCTATAGGCTATCTAAAACAGGAGAGAACAGGAGAGGATAATTTCCAAGAGTGTGGACAATCTCTTTGGACAGGCTTTGTAGCCTGCGTCCTGTACAGCAGAACTGCAGTGCTTGTGAAGAATTGGCAGCCTGAGTATCCCCTTGGGAAGCAGAGTTCAGCCCTGGTGATTTGTTTCTAGGTTTACACAGACGGCTTTCCTTGTACCCATCACCTGGGTGTGGACATGTATCAGCAGATGAATGCAGTTTTGAGCAGTGCATCCCTGGATAAATCGAAAGCTACCTACTTTGTCTGTTCTTTTGGGGGAGGCTGGGAGTTGCAGTAGGTTTTCCAAATAGAATTGCTGTGTTACTTGTCCATGTGCTAGAGGAGGTTTAGTGAACTGCCATCGGTATCAAATGTCACTTGTCATTCTGACTCTGAGAAGTCAAGCAGTTAAGTTGTTTGTGTTTTGTTGGGTTTTTTTTTAATTTGGAAGGTATAAAAATAAAGATCCTGAACAGCTAATTCCTCTGGATAAGCGCTGATTATCCTACACCACAGCACAGAGGATATTCTAGAAGAATTTGTGCGATGGCAGGGCATCAAGCAAAACCTAAGCACATATGCATTTGCTTTACAGCCTTTTCTCAAAGCTGCCTCCCTTCTCTCTTATCACTTTCCAGATTCAATTGCACTGTACCTTCTGCTCTGCCTTATCAATAAAGAACTGTCATCACACATCGCTGTCAAAGCAGAAGAGCAAACTGTTGTCAGCAGATATGCATACAGCAGCCCACTTAGCTAAAATGACATTCCCAGTCAGTCCTTGGTAACCAATCCTTAGAGAAAGTTGCAGGAATCAGTTATGAAACACTTGATAGATAAATAGGAATATATAGGTAAACAATGAATTAATAAAGCACTGTTAAAAAAATTCCTGTAGCTGTTTCAGTATCTCTATTCTGTGGGAGAGAGTGACGAGTAAGCCTTTTATTTTTTAATGAGAATTTATTTTTTCTACTTAACAAACTATAGTTGGTGATTAGATGCAGTGATTACACTGTCTTACATGGAATTTTCCTTTAAGTGGTTGCTCAAAATAACAGACAGCTGCAAGAAACTTCAGGTTTGTACTGGTGAAACTGTCCAATTGCCACAGAACTTCTTTCTCTGTGATCTGTGCAGTTGGATTTATTTTTTTTTTTTTAATCCAAATGACTGAGCTGGATTTTTCTTTTATTGCTGTTTATAGGAAATGTGCTATTTGTCCCATTTTAACATATTCCAATAGCTACCCTGCACATTGAATTCCTGACCACAAATCAACACAGTAGCCATCTAATTACACTTTTTATCTTTCACTATTTAGTAAAATTTTTAAAACCGTCAGCAACTGAAAATTATCCCCTTAAAAATTTCCATTCCTGTCTTTGATTGACACATTCACCTTGAGCTAAACGTGTTTGACTGTAGCCAAATCAATCCATTCATCATGTGGCAGTGTACTGCCCCCAATACTGTTCCCCATTCATCCAATAAGGGAAAATTAAGATGGTGTATATATATACATTTTGAAGCAGCTACAAATACTGATGTTATCTAAGGATTTAGTCTGCTATCATGGAGGTCACTGAGACCTTTGCTACTGCTTGCCGTAACGGCAGGATCAAATCTTAGTCTCAATCCTACAAGCCTATAGAGACCAATTTTTTCCCTTGAGCATGGTCTGCAGGCATTAACTCCTATGAAGATTTTTGTTTATTTGCAATAAAGATCTGTGGCTTATTATGTTCTGAAATGACATAATTCACATACAACATGTATGTGCATGCACATGCATGTATGTGTGTAGTACCTGATGGATGCATAATAGAATAATCTTTCTAATAGATATTGCAGTTTATACTGTATTTGCATTTTTTAAACATAAGAATATTGAAAACCTCTCATCACATTTCAGGAAATGATATTTGGTCCTGTATGCCAACAAGGCTATCCTGTACATTCTGTTGTTAGTAAATAAAATAAAAGCACAGCACTATTTTACAAAAAGAAAGATTAAAGTGCGTAAGTACATAGATAGGTGCAGATCCTGCTGTGAGCTCCTTTGAAGCAGACATACTCTGTCCAAGATCAGGGAGAGCTGGTTTAAACAGCAACAATTCTAGTGCAAATTACCACTTCTGCTGGCAACACTTGGCCTTCCCATATGTACCTGGCCTAATCCCACAGACCTCCATGTACAATGTTGCTCTTAACATTGCACATGGTTTACAACTTTATGAGCCTGCAGAATTAGGCCCAAATTAACCAAGGTACCTTTGGAAGCAAAAATTTTCTTGACTGCCAGCTAATAAATGTATTCAAAACAAAATACATCCATTTTACATGCATCTATTTTCAGAGCTATGTTAAAAATGGACCTTGAGCAGACTTTTCAACAAAGAAACCAAAGGATAGGGAATCCACATTGTAGGGCAAAGTGATGTCACCATAGTGCGATGAGCTGCTAAGCAGGTTCCTTGGATGCATTGTTTGCCATTCTAATGTGCAATAACGATTATCTAGGTTTGTTCTTAATATATTTTTCTTTGTATAGCTGCGTATATAGAGAGAGATATAGCTTGCACGGGATGAAGATTCTTCAGAAATGGCTATTTCATCTAGTTCAGGGCTGTCAGATTAGCCGCAGCTCATTTCAGTCCTTTGAGTTTGAATTTATTTACAATATTTTGTGCTTTTGAACTTTTCCTTTTTGAATAATGTCCGAGAGAATTCCCCTACTGATTTACAGCCATGATCTTTTGGAAAATGTGATCATTTTGAGATGAGTAATAAAAGAGTTCTCTGTTTCCTAATACAATTTAATCAATTTGTGGATATTTTCTATTACGGCTCTAGATTAAAAGCTCTTAACAGAATGTCTAGATCACCCACATTGGCAGCTTGAAATAGTTCTGGCTGGTCCATCATAGACAGAGCAATTCGAAGTGCTGCCCAGATATTGCCTGATAGAGCAGGATGGGGAACCTGTTGTTGATTCCTGCTCTTTCTTTGCAAACTGAGAGCAGTGAGAAAATTGCTGACAGCCTCTCTGTAGGGGAGAAGAAAAAAGAAACAAGCAATATAATTTGCTTCTCAACAAGAGTAAAACTTTCTAAAGTTCTATGTGAGACTCAAGTATATTATTTTACAATGCAGTTCATCAGTCTCTTTGTGTTATTCTTGCTTGATTTTCTTTAAACAAGTGGACGTGGCTTGTAGTAATGCAGAGCCCAGTCTATTCATACATCTGGGGATATTGTCTTCCTTGCTGTGTAGCTCCCCTTCATCTTAACTGTCTTAAGCTGACAGTTGGGACCCTGGAATATCACCCTTGATTCCTGAAGGTTGTACCAAAAGTGTTTTTGATGGCATTAGCTACTTGAAGCAGTTTAACTGAAGTTCCCCTTATAAAGACAGGCTCTTATATTTTCTTTTAGAAAAGCTTTTAAGCACAGGACTAAGTTTAAGTGTGAGAACAATCCCACTGATTATAATAAGAGTACTTGCACTTAGCGCTAAAAAATGCTTAAGCGGCTAGCTGAATGAGCGATTTATTTTCTTTTGATAGACATTCAGCAGTTCTGTTACATAGAATTTGTGGAACAAGAAAAGTATCATTGCTTTTTTAGTACTTTGTAAAAAATAATTACAAAATTTTACAATAGCTGAGATTATTTAGCTATATTCTGATTTTTTTATTATTATTTTTGTAGATAGCTCCAGCTAGAAAACTGAATTTTCACTTGGTAGTTATTATCCCTGACTTTTTTGTTTACACATTTTTGTAACTTACCTGTATGCCCCTAGGTTTATGCAGCTTATCCCTAAATTGTATCTGGACCTAATGAAGCCAGGTTGTATTTCTAAAGCACGTGTGTAGGCCTCGACAGCTTCTTCGCTTCGATCCCCATTTGCTAAGGTTGCTCCAAGACGGTTCCATAATGTATAGTCCTGGTGAGAAAATGAGTTTTCTATTGTAGGTGTCAAAAAGGGACATAATAGCTTATTTTTGCTTGCAAAATAAGGAGGACTGCAGAAAATAACAGTATTGTATCATCTCTTAATTGACATGGAATGTGAGGTTCTGAGTCATGATTATAGGCAACTTTATATAACTAGTCCAATTAATCAGCATACAGCTAGAAATTGGACATGGACAAATCCGCTTCTAAATGGAACTATCTTGTAATTAACATTTCTATTTCAGGTATTAAAACTTTAATGGCTGAAGTGACATCTCATTAATAATAGCCTGATCAAGAGGGGAGAAAGAAAATGGCCTGTAAAGCTAAATTCTTAAAAATGTAAAAGCATAAAATGTACCTCTGGCCGAACAGTTAAAGCAGCACTAAATGCATCTATTGCTCTGTTAAATTCTCCATTCAGGTGGAAAAGAACTCCAAGTCCCGTCTGCAAGTCAGGGTCTATCATATCACCATTCTGGTGAGCGGCCTCCAGGTACAAATCCTTTACTTCTTCAAGTAATGAGCTAGACAAGAGTGAAAAATAACTTAAAGTTTCATCTTATAGTTCTTTACAAATATTGCAATATTGATTGCATAGCTAGAAATTAAAATCCTTGTAATGGATGTATCAGAAGTGATATAGTCCTAAAATTTGAAAATAAGCTTCTTCAACTTCATCATGGCAAAGATTTACTTTCAGGTGCTGTTGTAAACTCGTGTCTGGAATAAAAAAGTTCACCTATATAATGAAGAGAACAAGTCCTAAGAGGAGCAGCTGAGGGAACTGGGGTTGTTTAGCCTGGAGAGAAGGAGGCTGAGGGGAGACCTTATCGCTCTTTACAACTACCTGAAAGGAGGTTGTAGTGAGGTGAGTGCCAGCCTCTCTTCCCAAGTAGCAAGTGATAGGACAAGAGGAAACGGCCTCAAGTTGCACCAGGGGACGTTCAGATTGGACACTAGGAAATATTTCTTCACTGAAAAGCTTATCAAGCACTGGAACAGGCTGCTCAGGGAAGTGGTTGAGTTACTGTCCCTGGAGGTATTTAGAAGACATGTAGATGTGGCACTTAGGGACATGGTTTAGTGGTGGACTTGGTAGTGCTAGGTTAACAGTTGAATTTGATGATCTTAAAGGTCTTTTCCAACATAAACGATTCCATGATTCTTTGAAGTCTATGAACCCAAGTGAGATAACATGAAGGCTTATTAAAACTATTAAAATTGCATGAGTTTCTCAGACATAAAACAGTTCTTTCCTGGCAAAAATAGTAGTTATTCTTAAGAGGAACAGATCAAGTGACTAGCCAAGGCCCCTGAAGAAAGATGCCAAAATTTAAGACTTCTGTACCCACTGTAGGCTTCATAAAAATTTTGCAGTGACAACACCAGATGTCAGCGGGATGAGGCCAGAGTAGAATAACACGCTTAGCAACTAAGCAGAACTTGCATATTTTATTTTTGCTTATACTAAATTATCTTGTCAACCCAGGGCTTGTTAGTGATAAGGGTAAAACATAAGGCCTGGCTTCAAAATGACAAGCAGTGAGATAGCCCTAGAGTTTTAGTTCTATAAATCATGTTTATGCCTTTAATGACTTTATCATGCATCTTGAAATTCAGAGATACTTATTTATCGACCCCATGAAATCATGACAAAGGGCTGTCAACTCATGAATTTTTTTGTTATTTAAAATGGCTGCCAGCTCCCATTACAGTACGCTAGGCTGAAGGCAGATGAAATGACTATGCTGTCTCTGGTTAGAACCAGAACGGCTTTTAAACAAGCAGATGCTACTTCCCAATGTTTTCAGTTAAGTGAAGCTATGTCCCACTGTAAAATGGCTATAATTCATGGATTCGAGTGGCTTAGTTGGGGTATAGGAAATACGACAAATAGTAGGAAGAACAAACACATGTAGAGCCGGATATAGGCCTGGTATGGATTTGGAATGAATTTAAGAATGAGCATGCGGCATGTGGGAATACAGAGGCAGCAGACAGGGTCAGAGAAAAGTGAGGGGAGTTGAGAGGAAGCGTCTCTTTTTAGCTGGTTTGTTTTGGGTTTGTTTATTTTTTTTTACTTCCAGAGATGCCATAAGATATAGCCTTCTGTCGCTAAACCAAATGTCCTGTGTTAGCTTCCCACTCCTGACACTAGAGATATTGAGTCCTCCATCATAGGGAACAGGCTGGACTTCTACAGAGTAAGGGGGCACAGCATGCACCATCATTTCTAGTGATGTCATTAAAATTTCCACCATCAAGATTTACACTGCATTTACCTTTCATCTGATGTCTTGGACATTCTTCTGGTAAGTGCCGGGGACCCTTTTTTGCTTTTTACTATATACTTGTATTTTGGATTTTGCTTTATCCAGTTTCTTAGAGCTTGATAGGCTTCTTGTTGATGGCCAGTGTTAGTATAACTTACAGCCAGCGCCATCAGTGCTTTTAGGTTGTTTGGCTGTAGTTCCAAGCACCTAGGCAGAAAATAAGAATATATTGAGGGTTTTTTTAGCCAAACACAATTCTTGAATTCTTCCAAAAAAATTTTTGTAAAAAAAAAAAAAAAAAAAAATCATTTACACAAGTAAGATCTACCCAACAATACTTTTAAAGAAGGGACTTTGTCTTATTTTTCTGTGATAAGTGCATTATGCATACGTATACACACACATATGCATGCACATTGCTGTGCATACACACTTATGTACATAAACATATGCATAAAAGTTTTGTTTTCATCCTTCTGATTATGAGTAAATGTAGGTAGATTCACTTTTATAATATCTGTCTAGGAAACAAAGAACAGCTTTATGTAAATTCAAGTGAACAGCTCAATCTCGTTTGCAGCTATACAAGAAAGTATTTTGAAGACAAAATTTCTTCCATCCTTATGAATCTTCTCAGTCATTCTGAATTCTCAGGTTTTCTTTGATAACGCTGGAGCCAATGAACTCAAGTAGTCTTCCTATGGTTGTATACCATTAACTGGAAACAGAATCTAGTCTGTTTTATGAACATCACTGTTGCTTGTTTCAAAACTGCAGGGATGAGCAAACCCTAAATCAGGCAACCCCTTGGATTTCTATCCAGGTAAGATAAGAAGTTGCACATAAGTAAGTTAGAGTATCCTTAGGTGAAATGACTTGATGAGAGGGTGCTTGGTTCAAATGGAAACATGAAAACCCACTACAGACAGATAATAATAATGCTGATATTTTGGAACTGACATTTTACATACAAGCATACCGTGATCTTCACATCTCTATCGACCTAAAAATATTGTCAGTTTAGTATTCAGCAGCTGAATAAGAAAACCTCTTCATTAAAGGACAGACTACAGAAAATATGCCAAGTGGCCAGAATATCAACAAGGCACTTTATTTGCATTATGCCTAATTCATGTTTATCAGGCCATGTAACTTTTCTGTTGTGCAACTACTTAAATTACTAGATTAAATATTGCACTATTTAATAAAACAGAAATATTAATCACTAGTCATCCCTCTGAAGTCAGTGCTTTACTTAGTTAAATGAATGCTTCATGTTACAAGATAAGATTGACGTTAAATATACCTAAGCCTGCATTACCCAATACTCATCAGACCCCTCATTTAGCAATTATCTTCATCTACCTTTGGAGGGCGACAATGGCTGCTTGCTCATTTTCATTCTCTGCCTGTGTTATACCCAGGAACTGCCAGGCCTGCAAAAATAATCATCGTTATTTTTGTGTTATTTTGTTATATATACCCAACTGCAAGCAGAGTTACAACTAATATCAAAGTTAAGCAGAGAGGTGAGTGAAAACAGCAGATCTGTCTGGTACTAACTACAGATTTTTCTATGGTGTGCATACCAACAGTACAAATCAATGCAGTTTTGAATATCTTTGGGCCCAATAATATTTGTAATCAATGAATGCAAAGGTATTCTGTCAGTGTATGATCACATGCTGATTTCTTAAATTTGAGTTACTGTACATTTTAAATGTTGCTAGAATTTTATGGAAAATGGCGAAGAATAATTACTAAGTTGTATAGGTTTAAAGGATTCTAGAGGGTCTGGGGATTCTCTTTGCTTTTCGAAATACTGCTGCTTAATTTAATGTAGCAATAGACTCAAAGAGACCTAGATACTTACACTGCAAATATTTTTCATGTTTCACAGAAAACAGGCGTTAAATATATACTAATTGAAAACATCAATATTTCAGAAATTGATATAACTTTTAAAAATTTGTCAACATTCTTGTTAAATCAAAAATGTTCATCTTTTCAATAGCAGTGTTTAAAAGATAGTTTGAAAACATCAGGAAAAGAAGGAAAGGTTTGAAATATTGTCTCTTTTGAATGCTTTTAAATGACAACTTGGAAATACTATAATTTCAAAAGTAGATTCTCATCTTATGAAGAGCTCACCTTTATCTATTTCAATGCATACGCTATCCCAAAACCACTGTTAGCATTCAATCTATTTCAGTCTGTCATGACTAGCAAGGTTTGGGCCCCAAAATCATTCCATCATTGCATGCTAAAGGGAGTCCCCTTTTCCTTTATCAGTAAAAGGCACATGAGTGAATACCTCTGCATCATTGGGTTCTTGTAGAATAGCAGCCTCCAGGTATAAGATTGTAACTGGCAGGTCACCTTCTTTCATTTTTTTCAGTCCTTCCTCAAAAGCACCAGGCCAGTCTTTGAAGGGATTCTCAGTATGGAAATAATAACCCTGGAAAAGAGAGATAATGGACCCAAGATGAAGCACTGTAGCAAGGAATGGCAACTCTATAGAATTAAATGACTCACTATTTTCCAGCTGGAGGTAAACATCCTTTGTTCTGTGAAAATGCTGTGAGAACCCCCATGAAATTTCAATGAGAAAAAGTGTAAAAAGTCAGCGTCATTGGACCTTTATGTTTCTGCTCTCTCTTTTTTTTACTTTGGCTCTGAAGTTGTACTTACTGGTACTCATGTTGGGCTCTCCTGCTCCCATCAAAGATAATGGCAACAACTCACGCTGCCTGCAATAGCAGCAGAACTGAACCTAGCAGGAGCCCAGTACATCCAATTTGATGGTAAAGAGCACACATCAAGCAGCTGACTCCCTGCAGTGCTTGTAACCTGATGTCTCTTCAGTTAATACCCTGAAATCTTCAATTAACCTTCAAGATACAGAACAGCATTGCAAACACCTGAGTTTATTTTAGTATTTGTTTGAATGTTGCCTTTTTCTCTTCTTGCCACTGCAGTGTAAAGGGTGTATGCTAATACCAGTTACATAATATAAATCAAATTAAAACATACAATGGAGGGAATGAAGGAGAGAGACAGAATCTCTATCATTTCTATCCTCAACAGTGTTTAAATGTGCCAGCCCAGATTTTTTTATTTGGTGCTCTTCCTTAAGTGCCCATCTTCAAAAGTGCCCATAATCCAGCAGTTTGTGATCCTTTCAGCTGAATTCAGGCAGTGTGCAAGTCTAGATGTCTTCTCACTATGATAAGGTCTTTTAAATCTACCCTGCTTACAGGTACTTAAAGAGGATGAGCTTTTGGGGGTAAAATTAGCTTCCATGCTCAAAGAGTTTTCTTGGGTTCCCTTGAATAACTGAGGCTCATCTCAAAGTTTCACAGGAAGGATGTATTGTATTAAAAAACTTTGTGTTACCTTCTCAATGGTTGAGATGGTGACTTGCCCTGGTGCTTCCTGGTTCTCTGAAATCCAGTTTCTGCGAGCCATTTCTTCCCATTCTGCTTGCATTTTATCCCAAAACTCTGTGTCTGACTAGAAGAAAAAGAGGGGGAAAGGGGAGAAAATGAACAACAAAACTTTAAAATAAAATGGTAAGCTTTTAATTTCTTTCTAAGAGTGTTCTGCGTCTGGCAATTTTGCTGAGCAGTATTAATTCTAGTAATAATCATACCGACTGAAATACTACAGCTTATATTTGGAATTCCATATAATTAAATTTCATCTCTCATATTGGAATGCATTTCGTCAACAGAAAACTCTTTATCTCAGAGGCAACGTACGTTCTATTTGAAGCAGGATTTGCAGCAGCTTACACTGCATCTTATGGATGCTAACAGCAAATTGTTACATAAAATTTGAAGGAAGTGAATGCTGCTAGTCCCTGGCCAAAAAAAGAAAGAAAGAAAGAAAGAAAAAATCGACTAAGCATACATGCTAAAGAATAACAATAGATAAAACAGTTTAAAAGAGAACAAGGATCCCACTTTGGTATATTCAGCAGCATTTTCAACTATGTAAAAGAGTAATGGCAAAGCTTAGACAGAGGGTGTTTGCACAAGAGAATTAATACAAATGGGGCTTTTTGACATGGTGGAGAAATCTAAATATTGCATCATATACTGTGCTGGTGAGAGGAATCTATAAGAGATTATAAAATTGTACAGTAAGATTGACATTCAGCTCAGAGACAAGACGGGAAAATGCATATACAAGAGAAACAGAAATGATGAAACAAGAATGAGATTTAGGACGTGTAATGACTGGAATGAGGGAACCACTGTGGCTACTAGAAAATGATGCCAAGAAACAGAAATAGCATTAAAAAAAGAAAAAGGGGAGAATCCAAGTTAAGGTGCTATTTTTTCAGCCTCCACACATTAGTCATAAGCCCCGAAAAGCAGTTCCATAGCAGAATATATGCTCAACGAACAAGCCTTTGCAAGTTCTCCAGTTCCTACAAGGTCATGGCCAGAACTTCAGTGAACTGGCACTACTGAGGGCACAGTTTCTTAGCTTATTTATGTCAAAGACAACAGCACAAATAATTCTATTAAGGTTTAGACAGAACTATTTGAGAGTGAGGTGCTAATCAAAATTAACTGAAGATATTATAAACTGATCCAGATAGTTTTCTCTGAATCTTCATTACAAGACTGACTGCTTTGCTGCTGCTCCACAGCCAGGCATGATCTGCAAAAATAGAGCTTAGTCTGTGATTGCGTGACTTGCTACGACCCTCCTTAGGTACTTGGAAAAAGGAAAGCACAGACCATATCTAGAATGAGTCAGCAATGAGAACATTTGAGACTAGGTGTGAAGGATTAGGAGGACTTGCACTGGCTAACATTAGGTGTGGCTGCTGTAAATCATAAGGCTCTTTAAAAATGGCAAGGTGCATTCCCTCTCTAGAAATCTAACAGGCATTTCCCTTTGGCTCTTACTGTAGTATGTGCCTCCTGACATCCAGCCCTTTCTTCCAGGAGACTCAGAATTGTCTGACTTACACAATTACTGGATCTGTGAAGGTATCTGCTACCTTCCTCTGTGAACTAGGAAATGAACATGAATCATTCACTCATGGAGAGGAGATTTCACTCTTTGTAATAGAAGCATCAGAACTTGACAACTCTGTTACACAACAACTTCCAAGGTTTCAAAATTTGCTTTCATTCCAAATTTGAAGGAAATACAGTCTTTTAAATAGTTGTGAGATTGTGCTGAAATGTCCATTTAAGGTTTGAAAAGGCTAGGATAATGAATCAGATCGTACCCTCTTTTATCAGCCATGACCAGAGGCACTTGAATCCCTTAAACTATCCTGTTCAACAGATGTCTCTATCAACTATTTTGCATTCAGTGCAAATCTGCACTGCATTGAAGAAAAAATTACTTGACCATGTTTTTACTAGCAGTAATTTTGAGATTCAGGATGAGGTAAAGGAGTGGCAATTTCCCTTTCCTACAGATTAATATTAATAAAACTACTGAAAATTAATTAGCAATGCCTTTTAAAACAGATTAACTTATATAACTAATTATATAGAGGTACATATATATATATGATGTTTATATTAGAATTTTTGCTTGTATTTTTCCCCACAAAAATCCCTTAGGAATTAATGGTTTGGAAACAAATCACATTTCTGCAGATCGTAAGCAAGCATATAAGTGGGTTTAGGTCTTAAGTTCAAATTCTGCTGCTTAATTACATATTTATAATTCACACAGGAGTTCACTGTGTGCATACTCCACTTCAAAACCTAACAAATTACTATGCATTCAAGTAGCTGTGCTTAATATCTATCTATAGTGAGTCAAAGGTGGAGGAATAAGGCAATGGGGAGAAGACCTGCTTTGCTATATCTTCTTTCAACTCATCGTATGCTACCTGGACACAGGCCAGGACCCAACTGTTATTTTGCAACTATAAGCCAAGATTTGCTTGTTTGGGCCAAATGGGCTTGAGTCCCAGCTACAGCTTTCTAAGTACATGCAGCATGTGGGGTTTCTGAAACTGGTATGGCAAAGCTGCACTGAGCAACTGGATCATGCACAATAATGGCATCTGATAAAATGCTATAATACTGCTGTGACAAATAACAATGTCAGCAGCAGAGCAGTTTACTGTCCTTGAGGAAGAGGACTGTAAATATTACACAGTCTTTGTTAAAGGCCTAAATCTATTTCAGCTGTTGTTAGTAGCAATTTTTTCATTGACTTCAGTGGCAGGAGGGTTAAATTAATATTGAGTGTTTCTGAAAATCTGGCTTTGGATCAAGACTCCTAGAGCTAATTTTAACTCTATTTGCTATGCGACTGGTGCTAAGTACCTCAAAATATGTTTGCTACCTTAATGCTGGCGAATTACTTTGGATGTACCAAAAGTTTTCAGACCAGTTGAACACATTTAGCACGTTTTCAGATCATCTGCAGCAGTTAAGTGGAATGACAACCAGGAAAAATGTTCGTACCATCTGACTACTTCCAAGCAGAATATTCTGCATTTTGTCAAAGAGGCTATTTTTACTCTTAGTATTTAAAAATATGCTGAAGCAGTTAAACAAATAGGAGGCAAAATATTTTCAGGCTCTTTACTTCCTATGATACAGTGAAAGGGGGTGGGGCGGGGGGTGTACTTTCTGAATATTGCTGGCTAATTTCTAAACTTACCTATTTTCATAGCTTTTAGCATAGAATTTTGCCTGTCCTGTACTGCCAAAAATGAATTTGCAGTGTTCCTTCTTGACCAATGCATAACAAAGATAGGTTCTGTGGTTGTTTTCTTTGAATTACGGCATCGACATACTCTTCAATGTGAAGGACACAGTAAGTTAAACTTATGTGCTAACTATGTAAGATTTCCTTAGCTGATATATTCTCAAAACAAAATTTGAAATATGCCTTTTGAGTAAAGTTTAGAGATAAAAAATGTATATCAAGGCAAAGATTCCCATTGTGATTTGAGAGAGTACCAAATAAAATGCATCTGAATGACTCAGGCTCCTAGATCCCAATTTAAAATGTGGTTTAGGCAGCCTTAGGCACATCCTAAAGGGATGTTGAAACAGTGAGACAAAAATATCATAGGTACAGAACTAATACTAACCAGTATTCATGGGAACCACAAAGCTGATGGTTCTGAACTATGTTCTCCTAGGCTTGAATAAATTAATCCCATCTTTTTCCTACTATTGTAACATAATTTAGCTGTAATAGGTTCTGATGCTTCATAACAGTATATTATATGGCAGATGGCTCATGTGACATGGTGGTGTAAATAAAATGATGCTGAGAAGGACAGCTCAAAATTTCTTTTGCGTAAGCTCACAAAACAGCGTGGCATCTGCAGTTTAATCTCTACATCAGAGAAATGTGGAATAAGAAAATACCAAAATCGCTTTTTTCCATCTCTGAAACATTTCTCAGAAGTTTTTGTGTTCTTGGTTTCATTTTTATTTACTCTAACTCATTACCAAGAAGATGGTGGATGATGAAACAATCATTTTAACAGAATATAGGTACAGGATGGATCTGAATCCCCATGCTGGCATTCTTAAAAAAATCAAAAGTACCAATTTTTGGTAAAACACAGCTGATTATTAGAAAGATTACATTAAAACATACTTGGTATGGCACTTGGAAATCATGAAGACTTTAGGCTATTTGTGCTTCCCACACGTGTATAGCAAAGGGCTGAGTCAAAAATCAAGTCCAATTTCCAGAATGACAGAAAAGGTAGCGAAGTCTGCAAGCACCCAATCACTGCAAGTGAACCTGAACCCTCTCTCATGAAAAAGCTAATTTACTTACCTCTTTATTCTTAAAAGATTCCCCAATGGCATAGACATCTTTAAACCTTCTTAAGAAAGAATTACCTTGCAGATCTTCATTAATCTCAAAGTTTGAAATCTCAAAACCATTCCCAAAGCTCTAAAGTGAATACTGGGTGGAGGATAAAGTTTGGTGTCTTCATTTACTGAACTGTTAATTAATTCCTTTCGAACTAGGCCACAAAGAACCTGAGATTTGCTTCCCTTTCTTGATCAGTTTTCTGGCTAATCTTACCACTTGGAGCTTTCCCAGTTGAAGGATATTACAGAAACATCCAAAGCCTAAAAAATGAATGTTTTGAACTGTATCTATTCTCCGCTTAAGAAAGCACTAATCTTTCTGAGATGGGCTGCAATTTATTTCAATCACTCTAGCTTTCTTACCACTTCATTTTAGCTAGGATGAAAATTCAATTCTTTTCATATGCAAATGGAAATAACTGCTCTGTAAGGTCTTGAAGAATCCTTTCCTTTACATTTTAAGTACCTGGTCCAAGGTTCTATTTTAAGCAGAAAGAATAACTTAAGACTGCCAGCTACACAGTTAGGGAAACATTTAATTAGACTCTTTTTAATAGCTGTTTTTGAGACTACATTAAAACATTTTAACAACCTGTCTTTGTTGCCTCAGAATGACCTTTTAATGTGCAGGGGTTTTTTTACAATATATTCTCCTCCTTACTTTACTCTGTAAAGTAATTCAGTAATGTCTTGTAATCTGTTGTTGGCCTCAACTCATTTTTCTTTCTGCTGAATGTCTGGGAACTCCCCATCACACATGGTGTCTGGCAATTGCAAGAGTACTGACGTCATTTGCTTAACCGCTAACTGTAAGGCAGAGATGTTCATCATCAGATTCCCTGTGTCGCAATCACAGATTACAGCACAACATGTCCCACTTTAAGGATCAGTCTGCAGTGCAATTAGGAACATCTAGAGCATTTTAAGCAGTGGCAATTTGAAAGCAAGTCTCATCTTCCCTGCCTGGAGCAAATGTGTATGATATGTGACATCAAAAAGCCTACTGTGCGTCACCAGCAGTTGTTTATAAAGAATCTATTTGATTGGGAAAAAACAATGCACTCAGAAAATACAAGAAAAATGCATTCAGTGTATAGTTTATAAAACAGCTAATTTACTGATTGTGTCCATTTTAGCCTTGTACACTGAGACAAGAATTTTTTTGTGTACAATAAGAGAGAAGAAAGCATGCAGTCTTACCTTAGCATATCAGGAAAAAAACTTACAAATCAAATTAATTTCTTAAATTCTGTTTCTAGCTAGAAGCCAGCATATGATTTAGGCCTAGTTTTGTTTGTAATCAACCAATATTAATCTAGAATAGTTCAACTGCTAACACTGGAATTACAATGGTATAAAACTTGAGTTAGAGGAGTCTTAAAATACAGACAGTAAAATTTAAATCTAAACCCAAATATCCCTGAAGTGTACTAGATGTTTGGAGACTAATGAGACTGCAGTTCCTGCCAAAAATAATCAGTTTTGAGGAATCAGTTTCATAGCTTCATCCTTTCCACTCTAAAAACTCATTTCAGTGGCTGTTACATAATTCAGCCTGAACTTTTGCCCTCGGTGGGATGCAGCTGTCTTGGCTCTTTGTGGTGATGGGATTTTGAAGGGTTACCGACTGAACCCCTGAGAAGATGTGATGCTCAAGATCATTGCTTATATCTAATTTTTTATTGGATTCGGTTAAAAAACCCTGTATGCCACCTTGCCTCTGGACAGGATCAGGACAGGACTAGTGGTATAGGACAACACTCAAGGCATTTTTCATGTTGGAAAAGCAGTAGTTGGTGAAAAAAACAGAAGTGCAATAGGAGAACTATCCAAGTACATGCACCTTTTCAAACTAAAACGATTTGTAAGGAAATGAGAGTACTCCGGTGTTTAACATTCTGCTACTAATTATAAAAATGTATTGGTGCATGGTTACTGGTATACGTGCAGTTATCCATTACAGCAGGTAATCATTCTGTTTAACAATGATTCCGAATTCCAGTTTCACTGTGGAGAACTGGTTTGTGTCTGAGCTTAAATAACTGATTGCACACATTCAGTTGCTGGGGAAAAATGTGTTTCACTCTTATACTTTAAGTTTGGAAGTACTTACATTTATGGGGAATTTTTCTTGACCTGCTTGCTATAGCAATAAAAATTGAGCTTGAAAACTTGGTTCTGTCTAATCTTCATTTATAGCCAAGGTTATTTATTTTTTTTTAAGGGAGAAACTGCTATTTTAAATGAGTAACTCCAGGAAATGTATCTTTACTTTGCTTTAAATAATCCAGTTCCAACTTTCTGCTATACTTGTGCTGCAAGATGAATAAGAAACCTGTAGAACATTAGCTGAAAATGAAAACAGTAAATGAAGTAATACCTCAACAGCTGCCTTTGCTCTTTCAAATTCCTCCTCCAAGGAGTGATTTCTGGAGAGAAGAGGCCCTCCCCAACGCTGCTCCTTAGTTGATCGTGCCTAAAAAATAAAAGAATAAATCAGAAAGGGATGATATACTCTCTGCCACATTTCTGAGTTATTTCCTTAATTGCCTAGAGCCCCAAATGGCCTTTTTCTTGGGCAAAACTTGTTGTGTCCCTGCATGAATTCCTCTGAATTCTCTTACACTGTAGCAGAGACCATTCCTCATGGGAAGCAGAGTAATTTATCTTTTCTAGACTTTTCACTCAAGATGTGTGAAAGATAAAGAGACATCTAAGAAAAGACAATGCAAGAGTTGGGCTACAAAGGGAAGAGCTGACTATTTCGTACAAGACTTCTACCTTAATTGTTCCTTCTCCTGCATTATGACTGTGACAATGCATTCCTCTCACTATGCTCCAGGAAGAAAACATCTCATTTTCCCTGTACATTTTGTGTTTTTCTTTCAGGTTCTGCTTTGGGATCACATTGGAGAGCCAAGTCTGCTATGGATTTCACTGGAAGGACAAATCCTTTTTACAGTCAGCAGCTCTCTCTTCTGTGCCTTACTGTCAGTTCTGTCAGTTGATTCCAGTGGAAGTACATAACAAGTTTCTCCCTGTTCTTTTATTAAAAACATTTTTTTTTCTTTTTTTGCACAAAAGGCACAGTACAAAAACCAAACAGTATTCAATGGTGGCATAGAAAAGCACAAAGTGGCCTAATCTTGCTAAACAGAGCTCTGACTGCTAATCCCTTCCCATGTTTGTCAGAGGTTAAACTCATTAGCCATTTGCCTGACCATGGTCCCAATTGCATTAATTTACGTGATTATATTTCTGATGTCTGTACTTGTAATACTTAATTTCAATGAGCCGCATTGCTAAAAGACTAATTTTGCTCACTTTAGACTCATTGGACTGTATCTGCAAGTGTTGGAATGTGCACTGCTGGGATGAAAATATCCAATACATTCCTGAGTTTCATATAAGTAATATGCAATGCTTGGTCAAACACGTATGTCTGTGTGTGTACACACATGTTGTTTTGCCTAGAACGATGACATTTGTTTGTCAATCTAGCCCTAAGGTTTCTGGTTTGTTCCTGAGTCTTTGGTCTCTCAGGTAGAGATTGATGAGTGAAATGTATATTAGGTTGATGATATATGGTTAGAAAAGAATGATACAGCAAAATTTCTGTGAGAAGCACGTGGTGGTGAGGGGTGCTGTGTGTGTTCTGTGTTGGCTTCTGGACTTTGCTGCAAGTGACAGGAAGCACAGAGTGTGAGGGAAGGTCTACACTGAGGATCTACTGTTTCTGCTTTCACATCTACTACCTCTGGTCCACGTTGTTTGGAAAATACTGTTTTTCTTTGGTGAGGCCAGGAAGAGATTTCAGATTGTCATTGAAAACATACCAAACCCCAATCCTATACACAAAACGGTTGTTTTATTGATTAATAGAATCTAGGGCAGAAGAGGTAACTGGTTCGAGTCATCCATTTGTCTATATATCACATGATGGTATTTGTCACTCAACATCTGCAGGATGAAACTGATGTTCCACAGAGAAGAAATTGAGGTTGTCTGGAATATATGTCTTTGAGGAAGGTGCTTGGATTTAATTTAAAGTTATCAGGAGACCTTAATCTTATCACATTTTTTGCAAATTTATTTAATTGTCCTCCTTGTTTCTCTTGTTAATTTCAGTTTCCAACTATCCCTTCTTATTCTTCTTTTTCTAGTAGTTTAAAGCACTTTTTAGTACATCTTATTTTCTCTGTGGAAAGATGACTGATGACTTTAAACAGGTTTTAATTGTCTTTTAAATTATATAAAGAGATTGAGATCTTAAATTATCTCATTATGAGGCATTCGGATTTCAACCTTTTTTGTGTCTCTTTTACTCTCCCTCTTTATTTTTTTATAGCTTTATTTTTTTATAGCCATACAGACAACCAAAGTGAATCTTATATTCCAGTACCTGTCTTGCCTTTTCTCTGTACAGAAATCAGGTGGTCTCCTATCTCCTGCTAATTATGCCTGCCTCTACATGCTCTTCCTGCCACAGTACTGCACAGGGAGCACTCATGTTGACATCCTTGTACACTCTGAGCCATAGATTCTTTTCAAATTGTCTTCCAGCACAATGTTGTAAGTAGAGCCTGCATTCTTGTTCTGAAATGTATGATTTTTCAAGTGACTGTATTGGAATATGTATTTATACAGATGTCTTGGTCACCAGCTCATTTTTATGACTCCCTTATTTACATTATTTTAATTCCACTGTTGTATCATATGCAAATTTTGTCAGGAATGGCTTGCATATTTATTTTCAGATCAATGATATTGACAATCATCGTTTCTCTTTGGAATCACAGAAGAACACCCATGTGATTACAATTCCTAGCAAATAACTACTGTTCTTGAGATCTTAGGTTAGCCAGTTTTAATCTGTTTAATAGCTGCTTTATTCATATTGTATGGTGCTAATTTTAAAATCAGAATATGGTATGTTAATTCAAACATCTTGCAGAATATCAGACAGCAACATTTATCAACCTGACCTGTAATCTGATCAAAGAATTAAATTTGGTTTTCCTGACACAAAACTCTGTTGATAGACATTAGTTATGTCCTAGCCTTTTCATTATTTACGAGTTGGCTCGCAAAATGTTTGATTCCACTTTTTAATCTTTTGTTTCCAGTGACTGCAATTTCCTTAGGTCAAGGACAATACTGTAAATCATGATGTTCAGACTGAGTAGTACTGCAGAAGGGGAGAGTGAGCTTGTTGGGGTAGTAGAGAGGCAAGAAGGAAGAGGACAAGAAGCACTGAAGTCCTGTCCTCTGCCACACGTCAGAGTATACGTATTGTCCCTGCATAATCCCCCCAGAAATATACTTTCTCCTCCATTAAATGCACAGCCAAAGGGGAAAAAAGTAATTAACAAAACCCACATAAGCTGCATTTGCATATAGACAATACAGACTCATATTCTGAGTTGTGATACCCAGAAATGAAAGACCCCACATATAACAAACATGCTGCCTTTCACTAGTGCAGGAAGAGAGGGGGGCTGAGAATGGAGTGCCAGCACTGGAGAACTTAACATCTCCAGCTAGTGATGGGGTGGGACTCTGCAGCTGTGTCGTGGTTTAACCCCAGTCAGCAACTACACACCGTGCAGCCACCTGCTCGCTATCCCCCACCCAGTGGGATGGGGGAGAGAATCCGGAAAAAAGTAAAACTCGTAGGTTGAGATAAAGACAGTTTAATAGGACAGAAGGGAAGAAAATAATAATAATAACAAGAAGAATACAATAATAATAATAATAATAATAATAATAAAAGAATTGGAATATACAAAACAAGTGATGCACAATGCAATTGCTCACCACTTGCCAACCGATGCCCAGTTAGTTCCCGAGCAGTCATCTGTCACCCCCCAGCCAACTCTCCCCAGTTTATATGCTGGGCATGATGTCACATGGTATGGAATACCCCTTTGGCCAGTTTGGGTCAGCTGCCCTGGCTGTGTCCCCTCCCAGCTTCTTGTGCCCCTCCAGCCTTCTCGCTGGCTGGGCATGAGAAGCTGAAAAATCCTTGACTTCAGACTAACATTACTTAGCAACAACTGAAAACATCAGTGTGTTATCAACATTCTTCTCATACTGAACCCAAGACAGCACTATACCAGCTACTGGAAAGAAAATTAACTCTATCCCAGCTGAAACCAGGACAAACTGCTTCCCTTAAGGGGAGCCCAAGGTGGGATATGGGTCAGGGTGGAATGGGTATGTCTGAGGCATGGACATTCTGCATACACCGTGGTTTGATGTGCTCACCACTCTACAATGGAGGTGCTGTAGCTGACCACCAGCTGCTGTCTTCAGGGACAAAATCCTCCATTCCAATGCATTTGCACACACTTTCCTGCACTTGTAGTCTGCTTATGTGCTGTTGGACCTTAACTGTTAGTGAGAGGCTTAAATAACAGTCTTAACTTTGAGCTGGTCTTCAAATAATGAGCTTAATCTGTTCCTTGTAAATCTTCATTTCATTAGAGTAACCTGCATCTGAGGAGAGCTAGGGCCATTAGTCTTACTGTAGCTATTTGGGAGAAGTGGGAAATAAATTTTGCGTTCTAAATATTGTTGCCCCAAACTGCAGATTTCTAAGGTTTACTGGCTTTGCACTATATCTTTGTCTAAGAGTGCTGACATATTAGAATTAGGTACAGTTTTTTAGCATGTCAGGGTTTTTGTGCATGCATTCTGGGTGAGCAATAAAATATCTGAAATGCTCAGGGAGGCATTTAGAAAGTTAAAACATGAGCAGACTTTATGCATATACAATTGAACATATCTCCCTCTGCAGTCTGTAATTATAAGAGAAAAAAAAAACCTTCAAAAAACACCCAGACACTGTAGGATTTCTTAGTACTAATAAAAGCATAACAAGGAACTTTCCCGAATGGCAGATAAAAGAAAGAACAAATATACTTTGGGCCAATGCAGTTTAAGAGTTAATAATACGTAAAATATGATGTGAGTAGAATACTGAGAAGCAAGACAGCCATTTCCAATGACAGCCACCATGCTATTGCCTGTTCCAGCCTTCAAACACATTTCTTCCTTATTAATTCAAAGCTTACCTTTGTGATTTTGTATTGGCATAAGTGCTGGTAAACACAGGATTTTCTTAAGAAGATTGCGTAATGATGAAAATGAAAACATGACCTAGTTACTTAATATTTCACTTTGAGGAACTAAATCTAACATGTCAAAGATGAGTGATGAAGGTGATTGTCTGAGAAACTGCTGATGAAAAACTGCAGCAAGTTTGACAAGATGAAATCTTTAGGATATGGCAGAATCTGTTGCATATGCAAAGGTTACCCTTAAATGAGATACACAAAATCTATAGAGGACAAAGTATGGAAAACATATGCTTTGATAAAAGCTCTAACGTGATTTCTTTTACAAACAGATTAAGAACACAATCAAGACAGATGAGCCTGTTTGTTGGGAAATGACAACTTTGACAGTCAAAGTATAAGCAGGATGAAGCAGGCAGTGAATGAAAACACTACATTTCTAAGTAAACTACCTAGAATAAGAATGCAATCTCACTTCAGGTCAGTTCTCTGCACTACTAATTACCAGTTAACAACATTTCATGACTTGAATGGATCACGTTTGAAAAAAAGCAGCTTATGATAAAACAAAAGAAAACATGAAATATACCAGAACAACAGATGAGGATTTTATACTCTGCTTCTTTTTCAAGTAGGCTGATTCAACTTCACATTATTTTGTTTTGAAATACCAGTCATTTTACAAAATAGTATGGAGCCTCAACTTATACTGAATTAAAAATGTGGATTTTTTGCTTCTGCAGTTATTCTAGTGGAAGATAAACAGGAAATAGACCATATAAAGTAGAGATGTTATATTCTAAATTTGTAGCTGCTTTTATAGAAAGCCACAGCACTTAAATTCTGTGACTGTCTACTTGATTTCCACACATCTCCGTTGAGCACAAACTTCCTGACATGTAGATCTATTAGGCTGAGGAACAGCCTCCTACAAAGGGGTTAGAGGTACTTAAAGACAAGCTGGACAAAGCATGTGAAAACACACTGTCCACATCAAGTGGATGATATTATGCAATAGATCTTTTCCATTACAAAGATGTATAAATCTATTGTGCAGAAGGGAACGATATCACGCATTACAACTAGTTGTAGGCTTTCTAAAGGGAAAAAAAAAATCTGTTTGTAATGTAGAGATGGCAGGGAACTAAAGGAGACTTTTTTTCCCAACCAAAACACAGGAATGGATCCTGATAACTGGGTTCTATTTCTATTTTCTGAAAAAAACGATGTATAGTCTCAGGAAAGACATTTGGCATTTTAGTGTCTCATTTTTCCATTTTCAAATGAGGCCATTATTTTCTATTAATTTCCAGATATTCCATCTGACAGAAAGCTTTTAAAGACCAGACCTAAAAATAGCTGTGGAAGAGGAGAAAATTATTTTCGACTAAAAGTTAATCCACCAAACAACTCTCTCTTCCCCCTGCCAGTGGCATTGGCTGAACTTGAAACCTGTCAGTTAAAAAATAAGAAACAGGAAAGAAGGTATATAAGCAACCTGATCTATGTGAATGCATATATAAATGTATGTTTCTACATATATATGCATACATACATCTCTAAAACTACACAACTCTAACTAATCATTTCCGCAAGGTCCTGTCCAATATACGATATGACAGTGGAATTGGGCAAATCTACAAACCTTCAGCCCAGAGCCCTCTTTATTAGAGTTTCTTTTCCAGCAGGAAAAAGTCCTTTCACCACACTTCTCTCTCACCTGTGGAGATAAACTGCTAATGAACGTTGGTGTAATGATTCCTTCCTGTATTCCTTAGCCATTTCCCAATTTTGGGTATTCCTGGTTGACCAAGAGGCCTTGAGAATAGATATATTGCAGGGAGAGGGAACCATTAGAAGTTTGCATTTCAGAACCGGAGGAAGGGATGGCGTAAATTGTAGTTTGAAGTCTTTCTCTCTGTACAGGAAGGTCACAATTCATTTTACTATTAAACTCTGAATATTTGAGATGCTGATCTAGGTAAGTCACTTTCATAACACGTTAATTTGGAAGCTGTGTGAAGAACCAGTTTATGAATCTTTTAACTGTTGATCCTGAAAATACCCCTTAAATAGTTCTTCCAGAATGTGAATGGTTAGCCAGTAGGACAATTCCTACTTGCCTTTTTATTGTTAATAAATCTACCAAATCATCTTACCTGTGTTGCAGGTGCAAGTTCTAATTCTGACGTTGAATCAGAGTCCAAGGCACTCTTGACGTTAGTCAGCTCAGACTGTGATCTGTTTTCTGTAGACCTGGAAAGAATGCATTTACATACTCATCACTGCACACTAAAACACGCTGCCTTATGTCTTTCAGGTTCATAAGCATATACTGATTAATTAGGTTATTTCTTTTAACTGAATTGTTTAACTTGCAGTTATCAAAAGTGCCTGGACCCTTCTCTGTGTTTGCACTCTTACGCTTTTCAATCACATGCAGACAATAGTTAATACAACAGAACAGAGTCAGGTCTGATTCACCAGTAGAGCCCTGTGTATATATTGGCACGAAAGTAGTATAATGGAATAAAGACTTTGCCTCTACCACTATGCTTCTGTTTCATAGCTAGGCAAAATGAGGTTAGGCAATGACACAAGACTGTACCTGCAGTCAGTGTCTAAGAATCAACCACCACATCGCAGGACTTCACCTTGGCACATGTGCATTTTTGTGCTACAATATCCTAATATTCTTTCTTCCTAGAAAAAGAAACCCTGTAGACCAAAATCAAATTAACTGAGCAAAACCTGTGTAAAGCTCTAAGTTAATGAAACACCCAGATAAAGGGCAGGTTAAGATACAGGATAAGCACCATTTGGTCAGAAAACTGCTTCTAGTGTATGAAAATGCTAATTATGGTCATGCATAATGTAGTGAATGAGTGTTGCTTACATATCAGGAAGGCAGCAGAATTAATCTATATGAACTGTTCCCAATAGCAAAGTCCAATTCTTCCCCCATTTACATCCCCTGCAATTTTAGTTGAACTGCGTGAAAGAGGTAGTACTTGGCTTGGATATTTTATCTTGCCTTTTCCAGTTATACACAGAAATTCTGCCCTCTTGGTAGCAAAACCAAAATACACTGGATATCCAGGGACTGTCAAATCACTGCCAAGTATCCTTTTTTACTCATTTTACTCACATCTTTGTAGTTGGTTTTGGATCACTGCGTGGCTCTGTAGAATTCTCACCACCATTTATTTAGTAATTGCACCTGCTACTTTTCACAACATTAAAAATTGCTGGCAAAATGTCATTTTATAGTGTACTTGCTTATAACACATTGTCCAAAATGTCTGCTTGAACACATATAATGTAATCATAACAGATTTAATAATATGACTTGTCATCAAGCGAGCATTTCTGTGAATTAAGGAAGCTGGACTGGAAATATTTTTGTAAGGAAAGCAAAGAGTTGTACCATAAAAGCTCTTTTGAAGGAGCTCTGGATGATGATGATGGTCGCTCTGCAGAAGGGTGGACCTTGCTACTCCTGTCTCCATGAAAATTGACATCATCCCATTTCTCTAGCTGTGTCTGAATATCAACTGAAAAATAAGAAAAGAAAACAGGAATCTTTTAAAGAAACTACTGCAGAAAAGTTTACATGCTCCGTTAAATGTAGGTTATAGAGAAAATGGTGCCACCAAAGACTGTATTTTAGTTAAGGTCCAATATACAGAAATGTTGTGCACCTTTCTAGCTAATACTCTGTGAAAATATTTGGTAATTCACAACATTTTTCTAAATCTATTAGCATTCATGGTCAGAATGTCAATGGAACTCTTGGTTTACAATCAGTGATTTGTATGTAATTTAGATCTGTTGATAAAATTATACTAACTATTTGATAGTTTGGGATATTTTTAATTTCCTAATTGTAGCCAAATTGTAAAAATAAAACTTCTTTTAGTGACTACCATTTAAAAATGACTGTGTAGGCAACTGATATTATTCAATCATATGTTGGACTTGCTTTACAAAAATTAGATGATCAGCTCCTGTTTGAAGATAAAGTTCTCTAAAAGAATTTCTGTGTTGATGAATGGAAGATTTGCTACCTTGGTATAAATTACATTTACCTTGCAAATTTCTCAGTTGCAGTGCAAGTAATTTAGTTTGGATGGAACTAAATTAGATTCACCTTTTCCAAAGCTCATCTATAGATCATGCTTGGCAGGATATTGAGTTGTGTTTGGGATTTTTTTTCAATCTGTATAAATATAGCTCTTTTGTCAAGAATGGATTTTTTTTTTCTCTTGTATGCATAGATAAAGCAGTATTTATAAATATAATGTGTTTTTCTGACATCTGCGGTTCTGAAAAGGACATCCAGTATGGGCTTCCTCTGATTTATGTCCTTTACCAATTTCTCATGATACCCCTACAGATTTTTCTACCGTTTTACTCACCCTGACTAAATTCTTTATTGAAAGAATCCTTTCAAAACTTTATTTGCACATTTAGTGACAACTTAATTGGTATAATGGCAAAGGCAAAAATGTGTTCACAGTGTTTCAAGATTAAAGTGTTTCAAGTAGTTTATAATGTGGGACAAAGGTTACACTCCCTGCTAAAATGCAGTGCAACAAAAATTCTGGTGTTGCTCCTTATTTTGTGATAGTAGCAAGGAGAAACTTGTGCTAAGCAAGGCTATGTAGCACTGATAAAATAGCTACACTCTTACCTAAATCTAGTGAAGACTTGTCTGAAACTCTGACAGTCTGGACTTTCTGCTCAGTATCCACACTGATAAGGTCAGAATTGTCTGTCTTCTTTCTGTGGGTTGAAGCTTTTAAGCCTTCACTTCTTGATGGATTCTCTGATTTCTTTGCTTTGTTTGGGGTTTGTAAGACAGGTTCACTAAGATCCAAGAGATCCAGACCTGTTGATAATACTTAGAGACAAAATGTTAGGATTCAATGTTGTTTTAATTCAAATAGCTCACTTCTTAAAATTTGTTCTAATTGGAAAAAAAATTACTGATGTGTTTGCATTTGAGTAGAGTAGATGTATATTTCCTGGCTAAAGATGATGACCAGCATATTCAAATATGACTAGGGATTTCAGGTGCTTAACTGGATGCAGTTTAAAAAAGCTTGATTTGCATAAAAGGCTTTTCCTCTGAAAATCTTAAAGACATCTTAGGTCTTAAGGATGTGGCCTTACTCTACAGATTTTATGTTGTAAGCGTTCCCTGTACAATTGAGCTTTTAGATAAGATTTGGTTTACTGTTATGGTTTATCAAGTACTGGTAACAGCTGCTTAGGGCACTACTGTTATGCCACAGGCCATTACAGAAAAAGCTGAAGAGTAGACAGCTTCTTGGGTGGACTTCTTGGGTCATAAAGGAATAATGGTGTGTTTAGTAATGGTTTCTGCTGTTGTCGCTGTTTGTCTTTCAAGGGAAAAATATTGAATATAATTATAAATTCTACTGTTATTTCTATTAAGGACTATAACAGTGTGTTCAGTCTCAGTTCTTCATTTAAAAGTTGCTTGAAGAGTAACACTTAAAATTCTTTAGCACATAAAAGATAGAAAAACTCCCTTTTTATCATCGTTTTATAGGGCAGGTGTTTGTGATAGATAAATTTGTATTATTGCTTGCAGTGCTTTATCTATGTTCTTGGTAAATACTGAATGTCATCAGTCTTCATGGAATAAGAAATTTTTGTTATTAAATCAGTCTAGCCCCCCCCCCCAGTCTGATAGATATTCAAGGCAGATATACGATCTACAGATACTTACTTTTTTACAACAAACACCACTCTTAAACAACCTGAAATATTTCTATTCATCCCTGTAATATCTTTAGCTATATATAAAAAGAAAAAATATTATTTACAATTGTTATTTAATTCAGTGTTCCAGTTTTTGTTATTAGAACTTGCATATTGCTTTAGACACATATTAATTAGATGTGATGATAATCACCCAGCTGTCAATTATTCATTCAATAATTTGCATGTATATAGATTTTAATTAAATGGCTTCTAACAAGCCAAGTCATTTTATGAGATAGCAATAGAACATAGTAGTGCTATGCCGATTTTATTGTATCTCAGCTGATCTGCTCAACCACTTTGATTACCTTTGCACAAATACAGAATAGAGGAGGCCAGTTTCTAAAAACACTTCCAAAGGACAATATACTTCAAATATAATTCAATATAATTCAAAAGGCTTTCAGGATTCACCCTTGCTTTTTATTATCTGCTCTACTATCTCATCACAACACAAAGGAGCTAAGAAATGTGTTAGATTAATAAAGTGACCAAACAGCCTGGATAAACTGTTTTGACATCTCTTCCCTTTTGTCTGACATCCCATCCAAGTTTTTACTGAAGAAAATCTTTCTAAAGTAAGGAATGGGTTTGGTTAAAACCACACTAAATGTGGCTTTCCCATAGGTTAAAATTCTGCAAAAAGAAAAAAGATTGGGAATTGGTCAAACTGATACGTACTTCCTGTTGAACTTAAGTTCACTTTAATTCAACTCCAGAGATCTGCTAGAATACATGTGGTTTGGATCACATCAGATTTGCCCTCAAATGTAGTGAACAAGGTTTTTTCTATTAATAGATCAGGCAATTATAATTTAATACTAGCTTGTAATTTTGTACAAATAGTAACAAATCAAGAAATCACTTCACAAAAATGTACTGTAATTAAGATAAAACTAAAATTATTCCTCTCTAGTGAGGGATGGTAAAGAATTTTGTTTACCTGCAGTGTTTGATGTTACAGGCCTTGCAACAGCTTCTGGTTTAGTTTCACAGAGAAAGTCATCAATGGAGGGGCTCAGAAGGGGTCTGCTTTCTTGTTGCTCGTTCACCAGCTAGCAACAAAAAAAACCAGGGTCACAGACTGTTGTTGCGATGCAGAATTTTAAAAAACATATTATCACAATATCATGCGCTTTATTTTTGATTGTGAGAGAGTAAGATATTGCAATTAGAAGATGTACAAATAGCTCTGGGTTAAAATAAAAAACTTTAGTCACTCTTTTGGGGCAAAATTATATTCCAATTTTATAAATTGCACAAAAATAAAGCAGCAAGGTGATTTTTCCATAGCAATTATTGCATACTATTGCTTATAGGGCTAAAGTATACAAGGCCTGATGTAACTCCCTTCAAATCAATGGGTGAAGTTGGCCTTCTCTATCACCAGGAGACTAAGCAGGGCTTTTTTAGTATTTGGAAATGGTCTTTTTTTCACAAGTAACATGCCTCCCCACAGAACTTCCACGATACCATTTCATCTACGAAATATGCATTAGCCCATTAAACAATAACCTGCTGAGACAGAAAACACTTCTCTGCAATACAAAGACATATGAATGACAGTGGATGGAGCCTGGTGAATGTATGAGCTTCCTGCATGAGTTTTGACTGTGTGAAGACTGATAATACAGTTTTTATTTATGAGCAGTTTTCCCTGTTTATTGTAATGGCATGAATGCATTGGTTTTCTGCTACCTAAAGGAAATCTCTGTATTACAGGCTATTTCATGTATTAGGGATTAAAAAGGCAAAACACAAAACAGTCTCAGAAATAAAAGTCTCCTCTCTGCAACCTGTCTCTGACTGGAGGATCAAGACCTATGCTGAGCTGGATGGATGTCTGATGGTGTGCCCTGTATTTACTTTATCTTTAATAATGTGAAAACATGTTTTCCCTCTGTCTGTTGCTTTCATCTGGAGCTATTTCAGCTTTACTTTTATCCTCTCTGCTCTCCCTCTCTCCATTCTGTTCTCACTCTTTTTCCATTGTTGAATTTTCAAAATTTTCTCTCAGATATATTTGAACTTTTAAATTTAGGATGCTGATATGGACTAGAACTGGCAAAAAAAAAAAAAAGGTATTTACTCATCCTTATTTTATATTTGTTAATTACTGGCATTTAGCTATTCCAGTAGCAGGATTGCCTCTGAAGTTATTACAGCAAAACAGCTTAGAATCACTGTTGCTCAGTACTTGATTTCTGTATTACAAAGTTGCAAGAAAATACCAGAGCTATTGAAATAAAAAGCCCATTACTTTGATGGATCAAACATTTAAGCTGGTACCTAATGCTGACTGACTGTATAATATGTGCACTTATTCATTTGCCCAGGACCTTACAGTTTTTCACTGAAATACCAATTTACATGAGTAATGTGGAAGACAGATGAGTGATTGCCTGCCCAACTGTGTGTAGCAGAACGTGCAAATGTGGGCACTTAATTTAGAAATCTGGCAATGATAACTGTCCCAAACTCTAGTTCTGCACATGCCAAACCCAGACTGCAGACACGCCTTACAGGTGACTTAATCATGTGCTTTTTTTAACTCTCCAAATTCATTGTCCAGGTTGCTGTCTCATTCAAAGCACAGAAGTTACTTGCTTAATTAAATCTCAACACTTGATTAGAAATTGCATTTATACCTACTGCACACCTTTGATTTCCATTAAAGGTGTCTCTACAGTACCCACATTATCTCTAGGTCTATACTTTTACCTAATAACTGATATTTAAGAAGACTTCATTTTTCTGTTTATGATTTGATGACAGTCCTGACTCATTTCTATTGGTGAAAAAATGAAGGTGGATGCCTAGTTGATTCTTGTCCAAATTACTTTTAATATTTTAAAAGTTTTTTTACGATCAAATCCAGATAGCAGCAAAAATTGCTTGAATACTTTTTCCTTTTTGCATTTACACACCCCATTCTAGGAACTAGCATTAGTAACAGCTGCTGCACTTCTGCAGGAAGTTGCGTATTCGGGTGAACATAGTATCTAGCAGAAAGACTGACAAAGCTTCTGGATCAGCTGGATCTTCAATGATCTATTCTGCGATACACTAACACCATAAAGAAAAGTCCTACACCATTTGGAGGAGGAAAGGAGGGAAGAAAGGAGAGGTTCTATAGGAGTCACTGTAGATGTAAAAACTTCATAGGAAATATTCTTATCTATAAGAGTGTATCAATAGGGTACATTATCACATAAGATTTGGATGCTTATCAAGTTTCCCATTACATTCCATGGAAATTTTCTTTGATAGGAAAGAACAGGGGAAGGAGGGAATGAAGAAGGATTGAGAACCAAGGCAGCCAAGATCACTCACTGGAGACAGTGAAGAATAGAAAATCTGAAGACCAATTGGAAAGGCGATTTATTGCCCAAACGTGTTGCGGGGGTAAGAGGATAAACTCTGGAAAGACCAGCAATAATGCTAAGAATCAGAGTTGTGGAAGGGAAGGAGACTAGAATCAACAAAGATCTGAATTTCTCCAAAGTTCAACTGAATTGTGAAGTAGCAGATGTCTGGCAGGTATTTTTTCTTTTCAAAGCTGCTTATTGCATCCCTGGACATTTCTTTATTATGTTGTTTATAGAAAGAAGACCTGCTCAGCAATAGGCCTTCATTATTTTGATACCAGCAGTGTATTGTTCAAAGTCCCTTGATAAAATTCTACCATCAAACTGAAAGAAGATTGATGGTAATTTCTACTTCATCAGTTTTGCCAGCAAACACCAAGATTTAATTTTTACTAAGTTGTGCCTTCTTTCTGCTGCATTTGCAGCATTTTTGTTTAATTAGAAAACAAATAGGTTCCTCTCCTCTGACACTCCTACTTTGTGAACATACGCACTAAATTCATCAGAGATGGGCCACCCAAATGAGCAGAGGAATAAAGAACACATTTTACAGGGAGACTAAAAGAGTTTGACTTCCTTAGGCTAACAAAATGAAGATTGAGTAGGAATATAATTATTCTTCATGTATACATAAAGGGAGAGTGGTTAGATGACATTAGAGGAGGAAAGTTGTTTCAGCTATAGAGAAAAGTTGGCACGACAAAAAAGAGATCTAAACTGGCCATGAATAGATCTGGTCTGGGAATTAAAATAATATTTCTAACTATCACAGCAGTGAAGTGTATGAACAGTATTTTTTTTTAGAGTAGGTGGACAAAAAGCTGACCTATTTAAAATGGCTTTTGTCAAGTTTTCTACATGGCTGTTTATTATGTGATTGCTTTTGAGAAGTGAACTGCGACCCAGAGGATCCTTCCTAGTCCTGTGTCCTATGCTCCCATAACTAAGGACTGGAAGCTGTAGGAGTGTCTTATTAAAAGGATTGTTGCTGTGAAAAATAATCTCCTTTCAACTGAAATATTTGGGTCAAAACAGGTAGCAAATACATGACCAAGCCTACTAATTCTCAATAAATACAAACTACATACGTATAGCAATAGAACATATTAGAAAAATATGATTTTGATGTGAAGCAGACATTTAATGATTAATCAAACCTTAACAGGTTAAAGAGTGCCGTGAGTTGATATTTTTGCTGTAGAAAAGCGGGCAGTGGGGTAGGTTTCTGACATTACTGTGTATGCAATGCCACTTGGTAAGCCCTAGGTCTCACACTTTGAATTTCATTTTGCTGCCTCATGTATTGTACCAAATTTATCTCTAGTTTAACTCTGCTCAAGTTATTAGAATTATATCAGGCACGAATTTGGAGTAGTGCTATAAAACATTCATGAGATGAAAACTATTATCTATATTAAAGTCATAATTTATGGTTCTCAAGCACCTTTCAGGGTGAATATCACAGAATGCTTTAAAACATTCATGAATCAAGCCTGGCACCACTGCAGAACTGAGAAGTATTATCTCTATGTTGCAGACGAGAGAAGCAAAGTGAAATTAAGCAAGCTACCCAACATCACCCGGCACTGGAGGAAGCGGCACTGGGAGCAGGAGCCAGGCGGCTGGCGCTGCACTGCCGCACAGTATTTATGCCTGCAATATTTGCACACACGCCAAGCGGTATAGACTCAGCCTGTGAAACTGTTGATTTCTGAGTACTAATTTAGCCAGTGAGTGCCATAAATTCTCATAATATCTCTAAGAACTTAATTTTTCTTTATAAAATTCATTTTAATTAAAGAAAAAGCCCACACACTTCTTTAACTGAAGGATATTTAAAATCTATGGAGGGTGATATTCCCTACTACCAATACATCTGAAGAGACTCATCCATAGTATAAAAAACTCCTTCTAAATTCAAATGAATTTTCTGCGACTGACTTCTGCTGTTCGACAGCACAACGGAAAAAGGTGCTTTTTCCTCACCCCAGTACTGCTATTGGATTTTTTTCTTCCAAAAAGCGTATATGTGGGGGGTTTTGGTGCTTTGGGAGAGATACTGGGAGAGTCAAAAGTGTCACCTGATGGCTGATATCAGCCCCACTGCTTGAATACACTCAAAGCAAGAATTATTTAGCAGAGATCTGAGACAAGGCACAGAGGCAGGATCAGTTGCTGTGCTGGAGGCCACGTCTGCCATATTTCCCCTCAGCACAGGCTGGGCGGCCCTGCAGACCAGGGCACTGAGGGGAATCACCTGGTCGCCATTTTCTGTGCCCTGTCACCTGCCCCATCCCCAGCTGTATCCATTTATTCAGCTGATTTAGTTTATTACCTGCAGCTGCCTTTGCTGTGGAATTTTCCTTTCCCCAGTGCTCTGGTTTAGCTAGTGGTGTCTGTGCTGCCCTTAGGGCTGCTGTGAGAGGAGGAGGCAACAGCAGCTTATGGTGATTCCCTCTCTGGATGATCCTCAGGCCTGAAGGGTAGGTGGGTGCCCGATGAATGGTGGTGGTTTGGGGTCAAAAATATTAAAGGCTGGGTGTGGGTGTGCTGGGGCAGGAGGGGAGACATTGCTGTGAGAGAGGCATGGCGCTGGCCCCCTGAAAGGGAGAGGTGGCCATGAGAGGGATTTCTTCCTTCTAGCCGATATCCTGCCTGGTCTTAGCTTCCCTCAGATGCTCAGCTGG